CCTGGGGTGGTGTGGAAAACAGCATCCACGGACGGACAAGCGGACGGACGTACATCGATGACCGACTGTCGGGAGGCAAGATCGGGGATTTCGAAGGTTGAAGGCGAATATCGGTCCTTTTCGGTCACCGTCACCGGGGTTGACACCCGGTGCCCGTTCGCCTTCAGATTCCGGCGTGAGGACGGTTCTGCTCGGTTTTCGTGAAAACCAGAGTTTCGAAATTCAAAGAACTGAACACGTCACTCGACGGTCCGCGTCGCAGGTAAGTCAACACAGAAAACGGTTTGAAAAAAAAACAACACATCTTTGAATTCTCCGACTTTGTCCCGAAAGTCGGTCATCGATTTATCGCCCGGACGGTGTTTCGATGCGGCCGCCGGCGATAAGAAGTTTTTGAATCAACAGGTGGGACTCAATCTCGGGAATGACTCACTGATCGGGTCAACGTCACGGGGGAATCCGCGATAAGAGGTTTTTGAATCAACAGGTGGGTCTCAATCTCGGGAACTTCGTCAGATGACCTACTGACTTAAGTTCAATCCGTCAAAGTAACCTATAACTTAATGACGAGATCAACGCGATACCTACTATACAGCAGAGCGGTTATACTTACTTTTTTTTTAAATTTTAAATTACCTAATGAAACTTTAGAGATGATATTGTGGACAGAGATCTTGAAGAATCTTCGCTGCAATTCAATCAACAATGTTAATCAAAATTCGAGGTAGTAACATTATTTTTAAATAGCACGTATATCCTATATACATAGCCAAAGCGGTCACTGTCTTAATTAAAGATTATCTAGCGAAACCACAGCCGCCTACTGTGAGTTTCGCGACCGTGGACGCACGGTATAGATCGCGTCCCCAGGTTGCGGATAGGGGGAAGCCCGGTTCACTCGGTTCGCCGAGTCGGGTAGCCGGCGAATAACTAATACCCGGCCGCGGACAGCTTCGATCAAATGACCCGTAGTTCCGGACAGTATGTCCTCTGGGCCGGTTCACGGTCGCCGGTTGGGCCACCGACCCAGCCGGTGGTGCTCTTAATACGAGTTGAGAGCACGTCGCAGGAGTTCGCTCCGTCCAGCAGCCGGGCGTCTCAGCGTAAGCCGGATTCGGGCATGTCTCCGGGACACAGCGGTGAGTGTTGCGGGTTCGCGACTGATGGATCGTCTGCTTAGAGTCCCTAAGTCGGTAGGCGAGTGCGGTCGCCGCAAATAGTCCCACCTTTGACCGAAAGGTAGGGCTGTCGTCAGTTTGGGCAGGGAGCCTCGGCTCGGCAGGCATCCGGGTCGGGACGTTCGGCCAGACTGACCCAAAGAATGGGTCCTTGCTGATGACGGCACGAAAGGGTGGTGGCCAAGATTAATTTCGCACCTCGCGGACGCTCGTCCGCGGTTAAGGCAAACCAATGCCCGTCTTGCCGGACAGAACTGGTAGCTTTCAAGGGGATGACAGTCTGACTGAAGACGCTCAGTTACACGGGAGTGAGTGGGGCCCCG